TCGATTACAATATATTCTTTTTTAACGCGATCGAATCCTAAGGCAGTATCCTTAGGAACAATTCCAGCATAATTTGACGCTAATGTTACGATTTTATTGTCCATCGATGATGTTTCGAGTTTCATTTGGTTTCGAGCTTTGGTGGAGCAGATTTGCTCATCAACGCAGAGGAACTGCTCCATCATTATGTTGTAATGTATGATTTCTGTATATAAGTCGGAACGGCTCGGATCGGGCGACTATATCCTATAGCTGCCATATAACTGAACGATCGGAAATGGTATTTGGTAGAAATATCAACTTTCGTATTTTTGAAGATAGAAGCTTGGGACTTTTTTTTAGATTTTTTATTTTAATTAATTGGTTTTATTATGATGTAATCATAAGGATCGGCTAACTATATCCGATGTTTGCGATCTATATCCGGTTTTAACTGCAAGGGTATATCAACTTCGGCTCTGCCCGAAGTTAGCTTTCCTTTCTTGTTTTTATTTAATTTTTAAATTTTTTATGTAAATAAAGAATAATTATATAAGAACCAATTTAAAAGTTTACCCAATGGGGTTTGCTTCAGCTCTTCTTTATTCATTTTATTAATTTTTTTAAATTTATTTTCAGAGCACCTCTGGTAACTCTTCAACAAAATTGAAATGTCAAAAAATAATTCTCCCTTGACGCAAGAATACGAAAAAAAAGGATGTCTACTTCTACCGGGGTAATTTTAATTTATTTTTTTTTTGCCTATTCCGTCTATTGGTGGTATTGTGAATTTTCAGAATATTGAATGCGTTAAGGAGGAGCGTTCACCATACGAACCGATACTCAAGATCGCCAATGATGCTCTAAAGAAGAAGGCCCAGCGCGAAAAATATTCCCCCGAAGTGGATGCTCTCGGGGAACTGGTAAAAGACGAGATGGAGTCACAAAATAATGCAAGCAATAATAAAAAATTCAAATAATGATAAATATTAAAAAAAAAAAATTAATATAAATAAAAAAATAATATAGACCCACATAAAAAAAAAAGAAAAAATCAGGTGGCAGCTGGTGTTCCAAGGCATAAAGACATTTTATTTTTATTTTACTTTTAAATATTTTATGAAAAAAAAATAATTAAATATTTAAAAACCCATTTAAAAGTTAAAATGAAAATTCAAAAATAATTCTCATTCTGGGAGCTGATGTTAGCCGCAAGGCTCACAACCAACTGACCAGAAAACGATTGCTTGGTCTATTTATATGCAAGTTCTTCTACACTAGAGGATATATCGATGTTTACCGATGTATCGATGTTTGGAAAAGAATACCCATCGATATTAATATCGAATAGAAGAGCGACAACACGATAAGCTCCAATAATAATCATTATTTATTAATAAATTTCATTTAAAATATATTAATAATTATTATTAAAGAAAATTTACACTGCTGGCACTCAGTTTTCCACACAAATTCGTTTTATATTTATTATTGTAATGATTATTGAAAAAAGTTAATATGCAAAAACCTTCGTTACTTAACAATTTTAAATAATATTAAAAATACGTTGTTATTATTTACGTTTAATAGCATCAGTTATGTTTCCTTATCTTCGTATTGCTTTCCTTCTTATACCGTCCGCGTTAGCAAGCCCCAAACATTTGCAATTACGTTTAGATTCGGATCCGGAATATGGTGGCCAGGTCATGATAACGTTTTGACTAGAAATAAACGACTTTATTAGGATGCGCCATTATGCACGGTATACCCCGAAGTAGCCCATTCGAATGGTACCATTCCCATCAAATTCTCTCCTACAGATTTTGAGCAATCAAGTCCCGAAAATTTCGGATTCTGATTCGCGAACTGGGCGTTTAACCGATTACCGTGTTTTGACGCTGCCCAACGCTTGCTGCGCGGTTTCCCCAAAAAGCGTCATTAACAAGCGTCACAAGCGTCACAGATCGCCGTTAATAATCCCAAAAAAAAAAGTTGCCGGATAAATATTTTTATTTCAACAATGCTGCAAGTATTTATTTAATAAATCTTATACATCTAATAATAAATAATTAATAAATCTTTTTTATCTTATCATATTATCATATGAATTTTATCATATTACTTCAAGAAATAAAACAAATATAGGTTAAATATTATTTATTTGTTGTTTTTATTTTTGGGTAGTTTTTTTTTGAATTCTCCATTCTCTTCGTACTGGTTTTCTCCAGCAGCCATGTATAATATTAGCCATTAATATTAAAAATAGAGACTTAAGGCTAAAGCCTAGTACTGAGTTGACGAAAATCCGCTCTTGAAATTCCGCTTGTGAAATTGCACTTTATTCGGCTACCGAGCTAGTGTGACCAACAAAATTAAGAAATAGGGTAATACTGAACAGCTGTTGTTTGTAAACAAAAAAACAATAAGCAAATATGAATTCAAATCAATTGGATTTTGGTGTTTTGTTTATGTATTTCGGCCCTAAGGAGCTGATTAAGAAATAGAAAACTGGGTCAAAATCAAAATAAAAATCAATCACAAATCATTTCAATGCCATTTTATGGCATTAAAATGCCCCTTGTGGGTCAAATCCCATATTATGGGCTTCGCCTTGACCGCACTAATTAATTTCAATTTATCCTCGCACGCCGAAAATTTTTCGGTCCGACAATTTTTTTCTTTCAAATTTTCCCTCCATGTTTTAGCTCTTCAAATAAATAAAATGATTTATTTCAAGACCCCAAAATCAGCTGTTTATTTTTTTGATCCGGCAACGCCATTCAATCGAAGACCTAAAATTTTTCTCAACTCAGTACCCGAAAAATTTAGAAGACCAAAAATTCTTCTTCTTTTTTTTTATACCGTTTTTTTTATATGGAGTTTGACAGCTGTCAGATTTTGAAGAGCGGATTTTCGTCAACTCAGTACTAGGCTTAACACGCTAAAAGTAATGAAAATAATAAATAAAATGTTTGTTTAATTAATTTAGCGAAACTTACCTTCTCTTTATATCGATCATGCAATGAGGTCGGTGCATTCTTCTCCGACAACCGTTTAAAATCCGAGAGGATTTCAACAAAATTTTTTTTGATAAAGTCTTAAAAAAGGTTTGTGTTAAAATTTGTGTCAAATACGTCCACATAACCCAATCTTCTCATTGTCCCGCCATATTTGTCCAATACCATATTTGTTCGATTAAAAGGATTTATGTATCGTCAATTAATCATCATCACTAGTTCAAAATTAAGTGAATTTGATTGGTTGAAGAACATATATTGGTTAAAAATCCAGTTACATCGAGTTCCATCAAATCGAAAAAATAAAAAAAAACATGATCTAATTAAATATCTGCACAGAATTATCATTATAATTATAAATAATGTTTTTTTTTATTATTTTTTTTTTTATTATCAATGTTGTAACAACAATGGATCTTGAGCTCAATATGAAAAGGGCTGCCACGACCACGTGGGTGAAGGATGGCAATGGAAAAATTTGGGTCACCAAGTGACCTCAGTGCCCCAATTGCTTCCAGAGGTTTCGCTGCTACAAAGCCCTTGGGAAAAATTTGTCTGGGTGCTAGCGCTACAAATTTAAGAAATGTATGGGTGTTGTGGCGGAGAAAAATATTCCCGTATAAATTAAGAAGGAGTTGTGGAGGGGGTGGGAGCAAATACGGAATGCTGCCACCCTCTAATGCTGGCACCTTCATCCAATCCACCACATATCACATATCTGGAGGAAAAATTTGAATAATTGGTACTATTTTTATTTTTGACTATTAATAATATTTGTTTTTATTGCGCAAGATTCTGCTACCCTAGATCCTCCATAGTCTACCATAAAAATAAATATTGAGTAAATAAATAAAAGTATTATTTCTGTTTAAAATTTGGTCTAAGAATGTGTCCCAGCTTGTCCCAAATAGTGCCACCTATTGGCAGTTTGGGTGAGCCATGGGACAAAAAGGCAATAACCGGTTCCATTTAGCGCGCCATCTGTGGGGAAATTTGGAATGTAAAAACAGCGCGCGAGGTTTGAAAATCGTTGAGAGATCTTTGAAAGCTTAAAACGAGTTTGAAATGTTTGATTGAATCCTACTGAATATTAATATATATATTCATAAATAATATAATCAATATTCGTTTTAACGGGAGACTGAGGAAGGATCCAGACTCGCCATGCTTCGTGTAGAAACTTCAATAATAGAAAAAACCCAGCGGCACCACCTGGGGAAGAGGACACTGATCCAAAGAGGATTCAGGGATCCAATTATTCCAATTATCCAATAATTCTGCCACCAGTATTCTCCAGGTGACATTCAGAACATGGATTCAGATACTCGTCCGAGTAAGTCCCCGAAAGGAATCGACTATTTTTTCCCAATTCCCAGCTCCGAAGTCCCTTTTACTACCTCAGCTTCATATGATCGATCAGAGCTTCCATAGTACATTTACATCCTTCAAATAAAGTAAAGTAAGACGAAAATATATTCGTCTTGTATTATAGTTCGACTGTCTGGTTTCACGCGATCTAGTCCTCGGTTCTAAAGCTATCGACTCCAAACGAGACGACATCCTTTTTAAAAAGGATGCAAAGTCGAAACAGGCGACTAGCGAATAGCCATACCTTTAGATTTTTTCAAGATATCCCTTATGATTTCTTTCATTGGGCTTATTAAATTTAATTGTAGATAAGGATCCAATGTCTGAATAGTTCGGCGTTAATACGATAAATATTTTCGCTTTTCGCTTTTCTCAAAACAGTGTTGCTAAAATAGTTGATCTCAATTTCTCGAAAAGGTATGAACTTAAGTGAAATTTTCACACAACCTTCTGAATTTTATTTATTTATTTTATATCATATAATATAATTTCCAGAAGACTTTGAGATCTACGGGCTTATACAGACAAATGGTTAGACGGGTGTGGTTATGTTGAATGTTGAATTTATTTTATGAAAAATTAACCATTTTAGTATTAGCCACTTTCAGTACCACTTCAGATTATAACAAAAACAAATGCTTGCAATAATTTTCGCTTTTATTATTGTCGTATTACCAATCTAAACTTGAACTAGTTTACATTTACGCATTTATCCAACTATACATAGAGCTTTGCTTAACTAAATTAAATAAAACTGAAAGTTTACAGGTTAGTTGCTAAAAACATTTATGGTACACTTAGGACGTAGAGCAGCCTTAGGTTAAAACTTGAAATTAAGAATGTAAATGGATTATGTAGGACTCGCAGACTGCTGAAAACATTACACAGTTTTGGCTTGGATTTGAATAAAATTCTAATTCGATTCATTCGCTTTTTGTTTTATTTGTTTTTCAGCTGCCTTGTGGATATATAGATATAGTGCTCTGATCAAAGTCTTTAGGAGGCCGTGAGCTGAATTGGTGTATCTGAGGTAATAACGAAAGAGCAGAGCATTGTGCGTAAACTTAATTAGGCGCTTAATTTGCCATTACGAACTAATAAACATTAAACAACTAACAAAGCGCATTTATGCATTTATTCATGATGCCTCATGATATTATTTATGATAATTAATAATGCGCAAACAGGCGACATTATAGCGCACATCCTCACACACACACACACTCCTATCTATTTACACACACTCCCACACAACTGACTGTACAACTTTAGCTGACAACTGCAGGGACATTAATTAGCTGCAACAGCAACAAACATAATGGATTTATGCACGTTAAAAGCGACTAATTATGTTACGGATTTTTCTCCTTATTCTATTCTATCTTTTTTCTACATCTGCAGCTTATATTTAGAATTTTTGTTTCCTCCTGGTGTAACTGCTTTGTTTTCATCCTGTCAGATGGGACGAGATTTCAACGTTCTCCGCCTCCGCCTCCGCCTCCGCCACTGCCGCCAGACGATGCAGCCAATGCAGCTGCTTCCTGAGTTTTGCACGCAATTTGCGATATTTAATGCCTCCTCCTCCTCCTGCTCCTCTTCCGTCTCCGGCTCCGCCTTCTGCCACTCCTACTGCCATGCCGCCTCCTAATCCTCCGGTGAACAGCTGCTATCACGTGCCCGTGGACAAGTCGTCTTTGAGCCATTGAGGAATGGGCCGCGAGCCTAGCTTTTTGAGCAACTTCACCAGCGCCGTATTGTGATTCAGATAGTAGCTGCCGGGGGAAAAAGCAGAAAAAGATACATTCCATCAGTACAGAGAATAAAAGCAAACGAAAGGTGGGGGAGCAATTAGAATTTCAAATGGCGCGGCTGCTGCCTCAGACAGAACTATTATGCAGATCATACGCGGGATAAGATCCCCGTTTCAGCAAAGTTTTTGGAATATTTTACTCAAGGGTTCTATCCGGTGATGGTATTTTATGAACAATTCCAAGCTTAAACGTTTCTAACTTAAATTTAATTTAATTTGTATATTAGGTAAGCAAGTCTTTATAGTCAGATAGTTCGTCTAACAAATGCCAACATAAATAAATAACAAGCTTAGATATGCCCAAGCCATTTCCCATTTGGCTTTCAGAGAGCCCCCTACTCCCTGTGATAAATATCCACATTTGCAATCATCTTGATGAAACCCCACATGGAAACAAATTTAGCCCACTTACAGCTATTTTTTACTTGGCCAACTCCCCTGATATATTTCCCATTTACTCCAATTGAATGCCTCACAAAGTAGTTCATCTGTCCATCTTCCTCCTCCTCCCTCGTCCCACATTCACTTCCATCACCGCTTCGTGTGGTGGGTGCCCCAGAAAAAGGATTCGCCAGCAAATCGCTTCCCTTGTCAACTGACAACAGCTGGCATACCGACAAAATCGCAGTACAGGAAAGTGCACTTTTAGCGGCCGCAAAGTGCCAGATTCCCACCCACTACACCAAATTCTTGGCCAGCAAAAAAAAGGGGACTTTTGTCCACCAGACCTATGTATACCCACACATATGTTCATTAATCCTTCACTCAAAGCAGCTGCCTCTGCTCCTTTGGCCTGCCCGGCCCAAATCACTCACACCTACACACGAGTGATGGCCTTAACTTTTCCCAATTTCCTCCATTCCCGATTTCCCCACCTTTTTCCGATTTTTTGTGTGTTTCCATTTTTTTTGCAGGATAAGGGTATACCCAACTTGTAGGTGCTATGGTTATGGTATATTTAAATGTATATTCTCACAATTTGTCTGACCTGGGTACCTATTTAATTCAGTACTCTTTACTTTAGAAGTCCAAGTTCATCTTTAAGATAGGGTGCTATGGTTTGAGCTGCTAGTAAAGGGTACATTATAGTCTGATCCGCTTTTTAGAAATTTTTTTTTGGATAGCTCCACCTCTGCGAACTTCGATTTTACTCACCGCTGCAACAGCTTGGCGCTGCGCTCATCCATCGTCGGGTACTGACGGCCCTTGGACTTGCCCAGGCATTTATTGCGCTTCTCGCTGACGGCCTGGCAGTAGAAGCCCTTCTTCACGTCGTAGCGCAGGTGATTTGAATAATCGAGCAGCGGCTGGATTTTGAGGAAGCGCTGCAGCTCGTTCATCACATCGATGGGATTCAGGCGCAACTGTTCGCCGTCGATGATGTGTAGCTGCTGGGCCGGGTAGTAGGCCAGCCAGTGCTCCAGGTGTTGGGCGTACTTGCCGGGATTCAGGCAGCGGTTTCGCAGGTCCTTCAGCGCTCTCGGTGCGGAGTCGCCTGCCGTTATGACCTGCCAAGTGGTTGAGGTGAGAAATGCAAAACGAAAGGTGGTAAGTCACTGAACGATTCAAGCACTTGACGAAATTTTTAATCTTAAAATTTCATTTTAAAAACTTTATGGAAGCTAAGGTTGTATATTATTTTAAAATGATTAAATTATTCACTATTATGACCTTAAAGTATCTACATTTCTATCTACAGATATTCATTTACAAGAAAACACTTTTAATTGTGACAAGCCACTTCTTATTTCTGAAACCTACACATGCTACACATCTTTAATAACAAAAGCTCCTGAGGGCTCTTTCCGCTCCATACGTTTTTATTGAAAGTGTAGATTGGACAGGAATTGTGGAGGCGAGGACGACGAACCAGTTTTGAGGGTCCTGGTCCTGTGGCCCGGACACATGTCAGAGCAAGCTGCCGCCAGAGTAATCTGAAGCATTCGTACATGTGTTAGTTGTGGGACAAGCTCGGGTGCAAATAGAGAATTCTCCAGCACGGAATTCACATGAAATGTGCCAAAGAATCAACGAAAGATGCCGGAGGAAGTGAAGCACCTACTTGCCACAATGAAGCCGGATGTCCCACAAGTTGCCCGAATTAAAACTGGATTTTCTTTCATTTCCTCTGTTGTTTGTTTTGACTCGATTTGCTTTTGAGGTGAACCCGAATGAGTTTTCCTGCTTGCCTGAATGTTTCTTTTCTATCTCCCCGGATCGGGGGACTAGGGGACAGGAATGGCAAATTGGGGAATTTCATCTCCCCGATTCGATACAAAAGTGGATGTCGGAAAACTCAACTCAATTATTAGAAACTAATGACGCAACTTTATTTAAATTATTGAGAAAACTATGCCAGCAATGCTTTAAACTTGTCCATACCTGGTAGAAACTATAGTTGTTGGCTATCACATCGCCATGGGCTTTTTGGTGTTGGTACCAGGAGTAGGCCCTCTTCGCCGGCGATATCAGGATTGTCACAATCTTGGCATGCGGCAGCAGGGAGTGAGCCCGTTTCGGCACCGCCTCTCCGTCGAAATAGGTGGCACTCTTCTCGAACATGAACCGCGGCGATCCCAGCTGCGTGGGCATCGGAGAGCTGGTGTTCGGCATCGCTTCCGACGGAAAGAAGTCCATGTACCAGTCCAGGCCCCGATAGTAGTTGTTCCCGTTGAAGAACTGCACCTCCTCGAAGGTCTCCGGGCTGGCGATGTTGCTCGCCACACTGCCGTGCATCGAAAGGAATGTATACAGGGCCGTGGTGCCTGTTTTCTGGGGCCCGATCACCAGGAACTTGGGCAGCGAGTCGCAGTTCTTGGTCTTCGACCAGATCTTCTTGTGCCGCACGTCGTCGCAGGGGTTGCCCCAGACGGGGTCCACCTCCTCGGGGTGGAGCCGGAAGTACATCTCGGCCAGCTGAATGGGCGGCGCCGAGGCCAACTTCAGGTTGGTCCAGCACTGCAGGAACTTGATCACCGATTGGAATGTGTACAGGGCCAGGCGATCTGAGCCGTAGTTGGACATGTGCGTCATGAAGATGTTGATGGGATTGTAGACTATCGTCTGGAAGAGCTCCCCGCCCTGTATGGACTCATCTAGCTTGTCCCGCCCCCCGGGATACCGGTCGATGTACATGGTGTGGGTGAACAGGCCACAGGTCTGTCGGGGCAGCACCATTATGTTCCGGTGGATGAACCCCCTTCTCAGCCGGGCTGGTCGCAGGTGGGGATACTCCTCCGTGGACGTCACCTTCACGTTCCACACCTTCTTCCAGGCCAGGTAGAGCAGCTCGTGGGCGGGATAAACGCCCGAGTGATGTGGTGATATGGAGTACCCCGAGTCCGTGGGTATGTTGTGCTCCAGAGCGAAGGCGTAGTTCAGCTGCATTTCGGCCATCAGGAGCGTCAGGTTGTCGTACAGATGCGGCTGCTGGTGCTTCCACATGTGCGAGAACCAGTTGAACTCTTGGACGTTCTGCAGGAGGAAGTCGTCGCCCAGGTTCTCCTCCCGCGTTCCGTGGTGGTAGTACTTCCCGGAGAATCCGAGGTTGAACCGGAAGCCTGGCACCATCGCGGCTATGTTCTTCTGCGTGGCTATCAGCGCCCGGACATCGTCTGGCCGCAGTCTCGTGCCCTTCTCTCCCACAAATATGTCGTCTATGTCCACCAGAAGCATGCGCTCCAGATTAAGACTGAGCTGTCCATGGCTGAGGTAGCTGAGGGCATCGAGGAACACCAAGCGGTGCAGCCAGAAACGCAAGCTGCTGCCGAAAAGTACCCTCTGTATGCCGTCCAGCTGCCCGCGATCCTGGAGGACCGTCGTCAGGGGCAATTGTACTTGGCCCACACTGTCCGCCGGGTACTCCTGGGTGTTCCTCTGGGCCCACTCCACCGGCTCGTAGGTACTGTGGTTATGCTGGAAGACCGCCCAGTCGTCGCCAGGCAGTGCCCCCCAGGCGGTTTCGCCTGCTCGCGTCAGCCGGAGGACCGACGAGGCGGGGTTCAGACTGGCATCCCTCAGTCGCAGGTTCGTGTTCACGAAGAGTGGGAAGTCCCGCAACTGGGCGCCCACCAAGGTCTCCTCGCTGGGACTCACGAAGCCCACAATGCCCACCGAGTACTCCCGGCAGTACTTGTCCAGCAGCTCGCGGTTCCACTTGTCCATGTTGAGGTACTTGTCCAGGTTCTCGAACACAATCACGCCGTACCGGCCCTTGTCCAGATTGGTGAGAACTGGAAGACTCTTCCCGGCCACCTCGATTTTGTATCTGAAAAGAAGACAAAGAATAAGATTAATAGAAACATATGTACATATATTTAATTAAATTAAAGGAATAACAGGTTACCTCCATTGGCATCACAATCGACAACAAAGCATGACCCAATAAAGCGATTTTTTCTCCTTTTCTAACCACCAGATTGAAATAAATGCTATCACTAACGGTAAAAATATCCAAACGTCATAACTGTCAAATTCGAAACAACATGGCGCCCACAATGGCGTCAGTGGGAAAGAGACAGCGCAGAGGATATGAAAGAAAAGAGCGCTTGTCAAACGGGACATTCATTGAGAGTGTGGGAAAATGAGATAGAGAAATCCTTCTTGGAGATTCTTGGAGTTTAGAAGTGCACTGAGAGCTGCATATGACATCTGGCTGTCAAAAGCTGTTTGTCCTGACAAGCCATGGGGAGCGGGCGACAGAGACGGATGGGATGGGTGGGGGCGGCCTGACACTTGCCATTCGGATTCCCAAACGTGAGCTGCATCCGATAAATTTTGTTTGTTTTGGCCGGGGAGATGAGCTTAGATTGGTCTGTCAAGAAAATGAAGGACACGTATATACATATATCTGCCTTCCACTCTGCCCATCCAGCCAAGCATTTATTTATAAACTGATATTTTCACTCAACTATAGAAACGCATTCTTAATTCATTCCCATATACATATCCCGCACAAGGGGAGAGGAAAGAAAAACAATAACCACACCGTGCCATAATTACATTCAACATGGTTGTATAAATATTCAGCATCCTTATGAATAAAATCAATTTCAATATTATTATTTTCGCTGGGTAAACCTGCTAAACGCTGTCCCTCGCCCTTCGCTCTTCGCCCTCCGACCTCAGTCCCAGTAAATATTTTGCATAAATATTAAAATATTTTCACTGATATGGAATTTCCAATTGATTGAATTTCACGTCTGTCTCTGTGCACTACTCTATCCTCTTGCCCTTGGCTGGGGCTGGCGCAGGGAATGCCTATGCATATGAATGTGAACCGAATGTCGGTTTTGGTTTTGGGTATATCCTGTAAAGGCCGCCGCAGCCAGCAGCCAGTAGCCAGCATCCTGGACCCGAGATCCAGCGCACACTTCCTGCCGGTGTGCGTCCGTGTTGACCATTTAGTGGATTTTAAAGCTAAACAAACCAAGCTCGTGACCGAGACCCAAACCGAACCCGAAACCAAACTCGGCGATCCTCCGTTCAGAATGTTGTCCACTTTATTCAATATGCCAGGCGGTGTTTCCACCATTTAAGAGCCCAGCCAGCCCACGTAAAAGCCGAAACGCGACATAAAAAGCCAATGGCTGCTCCATTGCCCCGGCCATTGTAAACATTTTATTTTTTCCTTAATTTTTTTTCGGGTTGCGGCCACATTCGCCGAAGCATATTAAAAATATTTGCAGCAGCTCTACCGTCGCTGCATACAAAAGTCATAAAGCAAAACAGTTTATACATGTCTGAATGTGGTGCTCCGATGGGTCCGAATACCCACGTAGAGACACAGTTGAGGGAAATATTTTAAAAGCACAGTAAGGTTTCTTAAGGATTCCTTCAAAAGCTTTCTTTAGTAAATGTTCTTTCCAGCATTTAAGTACATTTAATATTTCGAGTTCGGTGTCATAGCTCCCAGGACGCCCTTCAATCCCGGCACCCTATTATTTCCCCCACCACTGTGCATATGAGCTATGATGGTTTGCCGGGGGCGTGGCACATTATTGATAGTTTTGTGCGATGGGCCCGACAAAAAACGGAATGACTTTTGGCCTCCGCCCGCATCACCCGCAGAGTTATGGAAGTTGAACGGCGGGCCCCGCCAGGGAGACAAAATATAAAATCAGGTAGGGAGTTTACGGGACTGGTGGGCTGATGGGCCGGATGGGTGGCTGGATGGCTGGGCGGTTAAAACGCTGACACACTGCATGCATTGCATATTTTATGGCGCGTCAACACGAGACCATGTGTCACCCGGCAGGGGGTCTCCATTTTGAAGTGGAGCCCGGGATTCCGCAGCAAGCCCATCAAAGTGGTCATTTATGTTCCGACCGGATATTGAAAAATGGCACGCCCGGCCAACGCCCGAGTGCAAAATATAAGAAGGTAAATTAAGTCACAAAAGGGAGCTTTCAGGTCGAAAGGGGATATGACCTGCAGGAGGTGCATAAAAGGCGAGTAAAATACTGGAGACGATTAAAGTTAATGATGGTATAAAGTGAAAGGATGCCGTTTAATATACATATGGTTTTATTAAACCTTTTGAATATTAAATGGAGGTAATGTGTTAATCAATAAAATAATATAGCGACTATTTAACATATTATTTATTTAATATTTAAGATGTTAAGCCCCTCGAGTAGCCTATAATACCCCAACCCCCATCAGACGACATCACTGGGCCCTGCAATTTCCAAAGGAATTTCCATAGCATACCTTTCAGGTGTGGAAAGCAGAAAAAAAAAAAAAAAACACAAAAAAAGCTACCAAGAGGTGCCCAGGCCGAGGGAGATTTAACGCCAACTTCTGCTAGGTTATTCGAGTGCTGTAAGAGCATTAATTAAAGCGTTTTATCTGCGCAAAATGTTTGTTTAATTAACTATATAATGACACTCTCCTCTGTGCATTCGAGTATGTACGGTGTGTGTGTGTGTTGATATTTGAAATTTAATTGCCAGACAGAGGGGCAAGGCGAGGGAGCTGATGAAGTTCATTTACAGGCCCGTAGCGGATTTGTTTTAAAAACCCATTACCGGGTATTACTTGCAAGTAAATAAATGTTGCTTTTTTTCCTGCAACCCGGCTACGGATACGGCTACGAGTGTTTCTGTGTTAGAGGACTCACGCTCATTTGTTTGCATTTATATGGGGTGTTAAATTATCCTCAGGATAAGCGTTAAAGTGCAAATGGCGGCGTGGGCGAGAGCTTCCATACTCCAGCAGGGGAGCATACCATAATATTTTCATAAAATATATTCAATTATTAAACCTCCTTCTCTAAATATTAATTGATTTCTTTTGGTTTTCATCTTTGTTTTTCTTACTTTTTATTTGAAATTCAGACAATTATAAGGTAACTACATATTCGAGTATACACAGTTTCCTCACTCGGATACCCTTTTGCCACCTTCGCTCCAAGTTTTCCTGTTCTTCTTCTTGTCGCTGTTTCCGGTTTGAAGGTGCATGCTTCTCTGTCCGTCCGTCTGTCTGTCCGTCTGTCTGTTTGCATGTTTGTTTGTCTGAGTGTGTTGGCGCTGGTTGGCAAGTTCCTGCTGGAAGCAGCGCCTGGGTGTGTTTGTGGCGCGGCTGCTTTCGCTTGTCGCTTATGCAACGCATTAAATGGGCTTAGTTTTAGTTGACTTCCCACTGCCACTTTGGCTTACAGGGTCTTGCTTCGGCCCTCTCGCCCCCACCCAGCCGGCCAAACACTCCACGGCCGGCACAGTGTTTGTAATTTCATTAGAGCGCTTTGGGGCAGCTTCATCTCGGTGGCACATCTAGCTTAGCCTTGTTGATATTTGCGTTAGGAAATTAAGCTGTAGGGCGTATCGCAAATACGGATTACTGCACTGGTTGAAAACTGCTCAGGAGGGGATGTATCTCCTTTACTTTTCATCGATTATGTTCAAGGAATTGAGATCCTAAGATTATCAACCGAATTGGATAGCCTGAAGGAAATAACAAATATTTAAATAAAATAAAGTTAAATATTTTGTTTCCAGTGCATTCCCAAGATTGAGTTAGCCATTGCCCATAATCGAACAAATCCACCGCATTTATTTGGCCAAGTGAGCCGCCATTTAAAGCCGTGTTCATGCCGGTCCTGTGGCCACCCTGGCGACTTGATCCCTGCCATAAGACCCACCGACCATATGGGCCAGCCCTAAAAGTTGGGCAATGGAAGAAGTGGCGCCGCGAGCCAAAGTTTCAGCTTATTAGCCGTGAGTAATGATGCAATTAGCAGGGTCATGCCATGGTCTGCCTCCTGATTACTTGATTATGTGAGCTGGGTTTCCCAGACACATGTGCCAATTAGTTGCCAGGTGACCGAAGGACGATTGATTTTTATCAGAGGTACATACCCTGAGGCACAATGATATCAGATGAGCCCGAACAAAAGGTATATTGTATTTCTCGAATTTCTATGGATGGTTGTTCAAGTGGGTGACGAAATACATTTAAAGGAATATGTGCCGGGTCTACAGTAAAGGTAATATGAAGAGGACTACCACTGAAACATTCAATATTTAACATTAGAAGGACTTATTCTCTGACGGATATGAATCAACATTATACTTCGTCACAAGTATGTGTACAATTTTATTGTGTGGGTGACGAAATAAATTTAAAGGAATGTGTGCCGGGGCTACAATAAAGGTAAGAAGAGGACTACCATTGATAACTTAAATATTTAAAATTAAAAGGAAGTATTACTTGTACATTAATATAAATAAATATACGTATATAAATAATTATTAATTATCCTTCGTCACGAGTATTTGTACCATTTTATTGTGGATGTGACAAAATTTATATGAAAGAGTGAATGCCGTAAAGGCCTACAATTTGGGTTATTTAAAGAGCACTACATGGTACATTCAACATTTAAAATAAAATGTACATGTAAGATACTAATAAATATTAAATATCCCTCGTCATGAATATTTGTATTTTTATGTTTCTTGGGCTTATAAGAATTTGTTGCAAAGAGCACTACAATATATGTTATGAGAAGAGCTCTACAAGTAATACATTGTTTTAAAATTAGAAGGTTGTATAACATATAAATTAATATTAATTGCCATTCGTCACGAATCTACCTCTTTATTTGTTTCGCACGTTTAAGAGCTTACGTCACTGAATTTCAATCTCAAATTGAGGTTTTCCATCGAAATTAACTCTGGGAACTACAAGCTAAAATTCCTGCCTAGAGCTTAAAGGTATTTCATTGAGAACCAACACATATTAACCTCCAGAATTTGTAGCCCAATT